ATTTTAACAGAGCTGTAGAGCATATTGATAGGAACAAAAAAGTCAAAAGAACTACGTCTCATGGAAATTTGTAAAGAACACCCACTAGGGGGCGTCCCAAACTACTAGTATACATATATTGGATAGAAATTTTAATATATGTACTATTGGGACTTGTTTCTAATTTTATACTTTGTTCAATTTTATTTAATATTTGCTATGTTCTCTTTTCTATGCCAAATTTATTTAATTCTTTATTGTTTGATTATTTAAAATTTCTATATCAAACTTGGAAAATGCTATATAATTAGTCAAAAATGTAGGTTTTTATCCAAAAGTTATTAATCTGCACCAGTTATACTTTAGCATATTTTTTAGATTAATTTTGTCATAAATACCTGAAGGTAGCATTTAATATAAAATTAAATGCTACCTTTGGATATTGGTAGATATCATTCATATGACATCTTATCATTTGTGTTATTATTAAGATGATAATTGGCAGACTTATATATCAATAATCATGCAATATAACTTGATTATTAGTGTCATTGATATCAAATCATTGATTCATTTTCCTTTAAAAAGTATCCAGCAACAAATTGAATAGTTTTCTTGGTAAAAAAAAGGTTTGTTTATAAAACACATTAGCAAAGTTTAAAATTGTGTGTTGTATCATTTGTTATGAGATTTTATTTTAAAAATAGCTTTTGTATTAATTATAATAAAAGGCAAAATGCTTAATTTGAGGATAGAGATGAGTTTTTAAAAATACTGTAAATGCCAATAATGATTTAAATTTTCATTAAGTCTGACACCATTTGAATTATGACACATGATCCATCTCTATCTCCCCATTCCCTCAAACTCTAACTAGCAAAATTTAATAGCATCAATGTCCCATATATACAAGTTACCATGCCAAAAAGTATTTCTTAATCTTTACCCCATCCTGAGATATTAAACAAAACAAAACACATAGAGAGAAGTTTTTTACTTTTTTAGGTTTAGAGGGTTTCAAAATGTCAATTTGCTAAAAACCTGAAGGGTCAGATTTGACACAATTTTGATACTTTCCATTGTTATATAAATGACAGCTGGGAAAGTAAAATGAAGCAAAAGGTAAAGCATGAAATTTTTTGCAGTTTGTCTCTGAACAGGCAATAACTTTTATAAAAATTTTTTTAACAAAAAAAAAAAAAAAAATTTTTTNCATTTCCAAAACACATACAATTTTTTGGGAATAATCCATATAAACTATGCTATAAACAAAAAATTGTAGGATTATTTACCAAGTGTGCACCGTTCAATGATGCCATTGCTTAAGCTTGTTTTCGTCATGGAGTGACGCATCAAACAGTGGGTGCGTGCTTTCTGATAAGTTATTTTTCTGCAAAAAATTTGCTGAACTTTAGAGACATCATTAATATAAATATAATTTTTATGACCGTTAAATAATAAATGGTTTTTAGTAGGTCCGCTGCTCGTTTAAAGTCAATGGTTTGTGCAATATCCGCTATTGGTCTAGATTCAACCAATCCTGTCGTGACACGAGTCAGTGATGATGACATTTTACCATATTATATGAGTCTCTTTTAGCGTGTTTATACAAATACGATCGCAATTTTTTCACCGTGTTATACGAATCGTATTATATGAACCCTGTTATAAGAGGGTATACTGTATATTTATTTTGTTTGTGCAATATAAAAACATTTTTAATGACACAGCAAACATGATTATTATTTTTAAAAAAAATTTTGTTATGCTTAACCGATGAAAATTCAACATGGCACAGGCAACTGAAAAGAATTTCAACATTGAATAGGTAAAATATACAATTATTATATCACTATACATAATTTCACAACAACAATGCTTAAATGCTAAGTTATGTCTTCAAACATCAATTTACATAATTTCAATTAAAATGTCTGATGATATTTTTTAAAAATTAAAAAAATTGTAGAAACTAGGTTGTCTTCAGTCCTGTCATGTCCAATCACCAAGAACAAATTAAAATTATGTATATTTTTTTAATTAGCTTGTCATAAGTGAATGCTTTAACTGTTTTACATAATTTTGCAGAGGCATAATCTCTAATAAAAGGTAATCTCTGTAAAGAAAGACTGTTTTGTTCCTGTTGATTAGACACGATGGAACTGAAGACAACTCAGTTTCTTCAATTTTATATCAATTTACATTTTATGTAGCAAATTTAATAATTGAAATGGCTGACATATTAAGCATCTCTTAACCAAGGAAAAAGAATAGAACAATATTGATAACTACATGAGAACATATATACATGTAAAATAATTAAATTATATATATGATTACATTAGAAATAGATAAAAATTACTTACATTATGAGGTCCATTTTGATTTGCATATGTATCTAAAAATACTCCCAAACCATGGAAAATCTCCTTGCTGCCAAAAACTCTGCCTAAATAAATATTTATTACATGAGTATTAATTATCCACATTCTAAGCAATGAGAATTTCTTCTTTGAGTAAAACATTTAAAATAAAAAAATTAATATATCATCTTAAATAATAATAATACCATGTTCAAGATATAATTTCAGATGAATGAAAATTATAATCAGATATAATATTTACATAGAGAAAGCTACGGATTTATACAATAAAAATATAACTAATTTCTAATTTTGTAACAGAAGAAAGTCTAAAAAATTTTACATTTATTTGTTATTTGCAAAAACAAAAATAAACACACATTAAAAATTACTTCATAATTTAAAGACTAATAAGCACATCTAATTTGCTGCTAATTTTCATTTATTTAAATCTTTTAACATTAGTATAATACATTATTATTTAATTTTAACATTATTTAATAAACAAAAATGAACTGTGCATCCAAAATGATTAATACTGTGTACTCCATTATATATTATAAACACACAGTAATATATCAATATAAATGTTTAATACATTTTCCACTTGAAAATTTAAGAAATAAGGAATTCTAAGGATCCTTAATAAGTCCCTTGAAATTTTAAATGGAAACAAACAGCAGTTAACAACAAAATAATCATTTAGCTTAAAAGTGAGCTTTGAAATATTCTTCTTAGTAAATATCAGGAAATAAATTCATTAACCTATTAATGCCAAAGTTAATTGACTGAACCTTGAAACTGCTCTCTGAGATTTTCAAAATTACTTTTAATTTGTAAATATCTCACTTAAAACAGTGTAAAATTCTTCTCAGAACATACAATATGCATGATAAACTAAAATTTTACTAGATCAGAACAAAAAGAAGTTAATAAAAAATTTAATTTTTATAGTTTTTTTTCAGTAGTTTAACATCTGTTTTAATATGGATTATATACTTTCTTGGTAGTTTTATAGTGATGATATCATGATGAATGTCATCATTCTGAGCAATTAGATGCAATGACTATTATTTCTTGTGGTTACTGTTTTTTATTAATTATTGATAAATGAATTGACTTATGTCTCAGTTACTTCTAAAATCAGACATTCTTTCAAGTGCAATGTAGTTAACAAAACTATTAATTAGCAATGCAATTATAATCTACTTGTTTAAAAACATAAAATTTCTTTCAAATGTAGACAAATAGTGCTAAAAATTAATTGGCCAGATATGATAATTGGCTGTAAATGAGATTGAAACTCATTCATTGAACAATGTATATTTCTAAAAATTTATTAGTAACAAACTAGAACATTTTCAATTTAAAAATAGATATAAAAAGCTAGAAGTTGCTAACATAACTGGATATGTTACCAAGATTATTCTGAATTATCCTTATTCATAAAGTTATTGTTTCTTTAAACATCATCATTTTTTAATGTTAATTTAATAGTAATAAATTTTAAAAGTAATAGTGTTTTTCCAATGGACTGATTGTTTATCGATTACTTTGATTGTTGGGATGCAATTTGAAAAAATCGTAGACCTATAAATTCCCGCTGTCATTTGTCTACTGTCTGTCTTTCCTTAATCTTGAGAGTGAAGTTAGATAGATGAAAGACAAGACCAGATATGGAAACCTTGGGCAGGAAGCCCCAATATGTGAACTTCCAATGCAAACCAAAAGTCATATTTCAGTTCAAAAATTTTCATCTGAAAGGTATTAGATAGATTACGGGTATGACTATTGTTAAAGGAAAAGCATAATGTACCGTACATGGGCAAGCCACTACTAATTTGAGGTGGAGAGTATATATTTTAAGTTAAATAAATTAAAAATATGATTAAAAATTACAGTCCAGCATTGTGACAATGTCACAATAAGTAATTGCTTGTTGAAGAATTAATTATCACTTGATGGTTAATCAGTGGAAGAGCTGATTAGTATAATTAACAATTAGCAAATGATTAATTGGTACATTTATAAAATTTATTAAACATTTATTTATTCCATTAAGTAAAGTAGCACAGTAGGTTCTAAGATTGTTTTCCAGTCTCTCCTCAAAAACAGAAATAAAATTATATATTTATGGACTTTATGGACACCCCATATATGTGGCAGAAGTTTTAATTTACATGGCTTTACTAATTGTCTTTACTTAACATAGATACCATATTTTGATTAATGTGATTTTGATATACATGATAGGATTGAGGGATTGACTGATCACGTTAATCAAGGAATACTTGTACTTTCTAAGTGGTAAAATAGTTTTTTTTGTATTTAAAATTGCATTCTGTACCCCAAAGAAAAGTGTAAATTGAAACATAAATATATTATATATGACTTCATTTACTAGATTGAAAAATATGAATAAATTCCCTTTATTTTAGCTCGCTGTCTGAGTACTTTTAATCCTAATCTATCTATATTTTGCCTTCAGCTATTAAGGTAACCCTACCAATATGTTTTGACTTGCGGATAAAATAAATTTTGTAAGATTAAAAAGTAATATAAACAAAAACAGGCAAATAAAAAGTAAAATGATTGATTATTGTTTTGAAATACTGTAAGTACATATCTTTAATAATTTTTTTTCTTTCTTGTTTACAGAACTAGACAGAGCAATTTCTGAAGTAAGCAGAGAAGTTGGAATGAATTGGAGACATTTAGCCGTTTGTCTCAAGATAAAAGAAAGCGAAATTTCAAATATTAAGAAGAAATTTCAAAATGAAGACGAAAAAGCTGCAATGGAAATACTCCAAATATGGAAATCGCAAAATAGAAAGAAAAAATCGGATGATCTGATTAAAATTTTGGTAGAAAATCTTCGAAATAGAATAATTTATCTAGATGATTTAGCTGATGAAATTGAAGTCGAATATTTATCATGAATTCTCGTCGTGTATATATTTATTAATTAAAAATGAATCTGCATAATTTTTAAAAATTGTTTATACACTTTGTTAAAAATATTCGAGCATTTATAAAATTTTTCCATATTTTTTTGTACTTCGTTATATTATTATTTTATCTGAAAATGACTCAAACATATGTAATATGCTTTAAATTAATGATTGAATAAACATATTGAAATGCTCAGTAGACGATGTAATTTTTAACTCACAGAAACTGCATTTTTCACTATTAAGATTAAAAAATTTATTAAAATCAGATTGTCAGACATTTTACTTAAGGAGGAAGTTAAAAACAAATAATTTTTTAAGTTCAGGATATTAAAAAAATCAACAATTTAAAAATATCCAGGTGGCGTTAGTATCGAAAATTACGTCCGAAGAGGCTAGGTGGCGTTTCTCGATCATTGTTTCCGAAATCCAGGTGGCGTTGAATATGTTTTGATGGAAGATGGAAATATGTCGTTCTTTGTTATATATAAATATACGATTATTTCGAGTTTACTGAATTTTTCTGTCGTTTAAAATATATTTCGTAAACAAAGACGACATTGGTAAGTAAAGAAATACGCATCAATGCTTGTTTAATCGAAATAATTAAATCCAAGTAACTATTTCTCTAACCCTAAAAATCAATAAAAAGTTATCAGATCTTATTAAGGTAATTATCATTTTTATTAAAATCGCATTAAAGGCGGAAAGTATGGCGGCGCGGTAGTAGGATGAAAACGCCGAAATTTGAAATAAATTTAATCATTTTATAAATGTTTCGCGACGTGTCGCAGATCCGTTTCACACGCAAACTTTTAATCGCTCATTGTTACGTCATTGCAACGTGAGCAGAGGTTGTCCTTATCCGGATTTTCACCGCATTCTTAATATATAAATACAAATAGAATTTCTATTCTAATTTATTTTCATCATAAAACTTGCAAATATCTACTTAAATATTTATCTTAGGTGAATTTGGCATATTTCCAAGCTTCTTTGAAATATTGCACATCATCTCCTGGTTAATAATAATAATACTTCATTTTGTTATTTTTTTATTTTTTTCTATTAAGGTAGCTGCAAAAATTTTATTGTGGAGCATTTTACCAGAGGTTCTTCATGCTACATGCTGTTACAGGTTATCTATGTAATTAACATTAGTTAAAAATTATATACATTATGTATGGAATTAAATTATAGAATATAGGTTAATAGTATAGTTCTGTTTCCTCTCTCTCCTCAACCAATCATGGATATGTACTGTCTTATAGCTTCTCTATTCGCTTAGCTAGCTGTTTTTCTGTTGGTAATGCCTTCTCTGTAATAACTCGTCAAGATATCCCACTCTGGGTCTTTCACATTCCCTTTTGCCTTCTATCTTTCCTTCCAATAAAACATTCATCCATTCTGTTTCCTAATCTTTAAATATAAATATCTGCATTATTTGGAAAAATATGTGTCGTATTTAGAAAAGTTTTTTGTGTTCAAGAAGTTAACAGTTATTGCATTTATATATAACTTATTACCCAATGATGATACATCGTAATTTGTTTTTTGTTTTTTTTTTAGTGCAAACAGTAGTGTTTTAATTACCAGTTTTAAAGTGCTATTAATAGCCAATAGAAATGGGTCAGTTGGGGCTCTTAAGAAAATAAATGTTAAAGCAAAAGTAAATCAGATAATTCATCACTAAACACCTTTGGCTGCTGAGACATTTGTTTATACTCAAATGTTTTCAGACTAATGTATTTTGGTTGTAAACTGGATATTAAATTCAGAAATTGGTAATATTCATCTTAAATTTAGTGTTTCTAGTTTTGATTATTTTAAAGCTGGTTCAGGATATGCAAACTAATTTCTAAAATATTGAAAGATATAAGAAATATAAATTTAGAGTTTATAAAATAATAATAATAATTTTTTAATAGAATGAATAATAAGTAAATGCCTATATCATTATAAAGCTGTGCCGAAATTTAGAATTTAATTTATATTATCTATGAAATTGTATATAATTTGTGAATGTCTGAGCTACAGAAAAATAAATTATAAAAATATTTCTGAAATTTATTATTTTCTGAAAGAATATACTGAAAAGTTCATGTTCTTTATCTGTTGGAATTAATGAACAATTTTGTAATATTGTGTGAATCAAAACGGGAATTATATAATTAAGTTATTTAAATTAGAGAATTAAATACATTGATCTAAATTTGTGTAGTTTTTTGTTTGAGAATCTCTCCTAAAGCAGAGACCCTATGTCATTTCCTTCTTTTTTTTCGATGGAGAAAACGATATAATTTTTACTACATGAGAAAGTAATATTTTTCTTTAAAAATTGTTAATAAATTAGTGTGAGAAGTAAATTTCTTCCATTTTTTTTGCATGTTGTTTTCGCTAAAGGAAATGCCTTGTTACTTTTATGACAAAAAGAGAAATTAACTTCCCTTCTCATAATCCTTATCTCTCAAATTCGATTACCATCTGGCTGTCCAACCCTCGACAGTTCCCCAGCACATCCCATTAGTGGTCTGAAATCGAGATCTGCTATTGGTCGGGATTCAGGGGATAAAACGGACAACTTTCTCCAATCGAGGAGTTCTCCTAAAGTTTTCCCTATTCCCAAAACTGAAGTCCCTCATCACGAAATCTTTTAACCTGTGTGCATATAAGTTCCCTCCAAGATTCTCATTCTCTGCCCAAACTTTCACTGCTGTCATCCCACATATCAATGCTTAGTGCCAACGAAAAGAAGACTAAGTTTTGACCAATAGTCAAGATAGTACATTTAAATATATGTAAACTCTCTCTCTCATATGAGTAAGTTAGGGTTTAATATTTTCTCTATATATATATATTGTATTTTATTTGTTAGTTTTCATTAAATTTTCATTATTTACTAATGGTCTCCTCTGTGAACTTGATTCCATGCTGAAGTCTTACCACATATGCATAGCCCCTCCCATCTGAAGAGTATTTACATTACTTAACAGTGTGCCTAATGCTAAATTTTAGGCTGGTGTCGGGAGCCTGACTGGAGACGACAGTTATACAATTGCCTTGTCTCCGTACTTTCTTTAACTTTTAATTTAACACCATCCTATGACCCTGTGGGCAAGTCCTAAGGACTTGATTGCTGATTAAGCTATAAAGAGCGATACTAAACTCTTTACACCCCCGGTTATCTTCACAATATTAATGGGATAAATTGACTTTAGAGAGAACTAAGTTTTAGATGAAATCAGTTTGTAACTTATATCTGTAGAAATATAAATAACATTTTCTGAAAACAATAATTTTACTGAAGCAAACTGATTATTGTATGAGGATGTTTGGATTAGAGAAAAGTTCCAATTAGTGGAAATTGTGTATATAAAAATGTCAAAAGTGATACTGAAAAATATTGGGCCATATCCAAGAGCAAATCTTGAAAATAATTTTTGTGTAATAAAATAAATAACAATAATTGTAATGTGTTTAGGAAGTTGCTTCATCCAATTTTCGTGATCAATAGGATGATTCTCATGCCAAATACGTCTTCTCCATTTTAGTTATCCAATCTTCATGTTCTTGTAGAGAAGAAACATCAGAACAATATGTTACCTTATGTGTTCCATCACAGTCATGGTTGAGTCTGGTATAGTGTCAAGTTTGCCAAAATGTTTTATGGAGGTAATCTGGTATAAGAAGAGGAAATACTTCTATCACTGCATTTTTCAACTCTTGTCTGGTACTACTGTTTTGACAGACTTCTTTATAAAGCCCCATCACATAGTCTAAAAGTCCAATGATTTTTGAAGCATTTTTTTTTTGATTGTATATGAATACAGACACTTATGAAGAGATACTCTGTCATAGTCCTGATCAGATTATTTTATCTTGAGATATTAAAAAGAATGAACTATGAAGATACTTTTACACTATTTTAGTGTTTATTCTGAACTTGTAAATTTTAAATTAAATAATGCTTTGAGATGCTTTAATAATGAGGATTTTCTGAATTTCAAAAATTTTAGAATTTTAGTTTATTAATTAAAAGTTTATTTTCTATAAAAAACTAGTCTGTGTTATTATTACTGTTATTGTTATTATAAATAGTCAAAATATAGAGATAATGCATTCAACTTTAATATTAATTTATTATTAATGAATAAAAAAGTTATACACAGTATTGAATGAGTAACTGGTATTTTATGCCATATAACAGATGGCGAACCTTTTTGAGTCTGCTTGCCACATAGTAAGCATATTAAGCATACTTTTCTTTAAAAATGTTTATGCGTGCAGAAGTTTTAGACTTTGAGTAACTATATTTAAATTTGGCTGAATGGCCATGCGGTCAGAGTGGTAGCTTATCGCTTTTGTGGACCCATGATCAAAACCCCAGAAAATTTTCAGGTGTTGATCTATTCTTCACCACCCAGCTGTCCCATTGTAGGCTTGCTAAATAAAAAAGCCCTCTTAGTACCCACAGGATAAAAAGAGTTTTAAAAAACTAAATTTAAATAAAAAAAAATAATATGCTGTAATTAGAGTAACTGTAAAGAACCTGATTGAAAAAGATGATATACTGAAATTGTATAATATGTCACATGCCGGATGATTTCTTCAATGTGCCACTTTGGGTACGTGTGCCATAGGTTTGCCAATTCTGCCATATAAAATACATTCCCATTTCAATAAAGGATATTTAGGAAAAAGTATTTAATGTATTTAAGCCAACTTGCACCTTTGGTACTTGGTCTCAGTTATTTTTTTATTATATTCCAGTTTAAAAAACTAAAATTACAATGTGCGCTTTTATATATCGGAGAAAAATATTTTAAAAGATATTTACTATTGAGGGGTTCATGAAAAAGTGGTACAAATGACAAACAGTATTATTTGAATATATTAGTGATGAAATGTAACATTGGTTAAACAGACTGATACTCAGTTTGGAAATTTTAATGTGATGATGATAATTGGATCTGATGATAAGACAAAATAGTCAAAAAAAAAAGAACATTTTATCAAATAGTTAATTGACTCCTGAAAAGTTATTAGCATTGTGTCTTATGGATGATAAAAATATGAAGCTACTTGACAACAGAGTTCTAAACATGAATTTCTTTTTCTTTCATTTATTTAATTTCTGATTATGGTTTTTGACTGATTAGTCTTAGAACTTTTGCAGCAATTGTCACATACAGCAGAAATTCTCTATGGGAATATTGATTCAAATCATTTGCAATGTTACATGAACTCTTCCCCAGACTTCAAGATGATCTAGGTTTGTTATTCTTGCATTAAACATTTTGAGCTGAATTCAAGAAGACAGCTATCTAGATGGCACTTACAAAGATACATGGGTAGGCTGAAAAGTAATGCACACATGCTTGTAGAACACGAACAAAAACAAATAGCAAGATTGGGCAAAAAGTACATTAAAGTACAATTTTTAAGCTTCAAAATCATATATATATTTTTCAACGTAGTCACTGTTAAGGCTAACACATTTCTCCCAATGCGTAAGAAGTTTTTTCATTCCGTCACTGAAAAATTCTTCTGACTTTTCTCCAATCAAGGACTTGACAGCTGCCTTCGCCTCATCGTTTGAGGTGTAATGATCACCCTTGAGGTCTCTCTTGAATAGAGAAAAAAATAAAAATCACAAGGCATAAGGAGAGTGTGGAACTTCAGGTTTCACAGAGCCTCTCCAGTTGCACGTGAGGTATGTGGACGAGCGTTGTCATGTTGCAAGATTATTGGCACCAGGCTGCCTCTAACATGACAAACTCAACGCTGGAGGTGTTTTAGAGTCTGTATGTACTGAGAAGAATTAAACATTGCAACGAGGGGCAATGGTAATCGTCTGTGGCAGTGATCGGACATCCGCTGCATGTTTCATCAATAATTAAGGCTTTTCCAAGCTCGCAACCACGAAATTTTATTATCCATCGATTTACAGTAGACCTATCAACAGCATTGTCACCATAAACAGCCTTTAAACAACAATGAATCTCAGTAGGAGTCACTTTCTCAGCAGTTAAAAATTCGATAACAGCACACTGTTTAACTTGCGTTGACATAGCACTAGAACACGTCTCCATATTTCCGCTTCTCAAAATATACTGAATGAATGCAACAACCTCAAACCTCACATACACATAGAGGGGGGAATGTTACTTCCTTATGCCACGCTTCTGAAAATCATTTTATTCATGCTCTACAAGCATGTGTGCATTACTTTTCAGTTTACCCTCGTAGTTGTCCGTATATATAACATGGTTTCTATCATGCCTATCCAACTCAATTTGATTTTGGGTGTTAAGTGACTTGACTTGCCCTGTAGATTGCTGGTAAGTTTAATAATGAAAAAGTTTGATGAAATAATGTATATTGTATACAAAATCATTTTAAGCTTGTTAAAAATAATTAGTTTTCATTATCATAAAATTTGAACATAAAAAAGAAAAAAATAAAGTTAGTCTATATTGTTCAAAAATTAAAATATGTATTCTGTAGTATTTGAATATACTACTTTATTGAAGCAAACATTATTTTAGGTTATATTTATATATGTTACTGTGAAAGACCGAAATTAGAGAATGTTGATATTCTCCAGTGAATGTCGACACATACAAAATATGTTGGTGAACGACCGAATATTTGGTTATATTATTGTATGTTCGAACAATCGCTGGTGTATGTCAACAAGCACAGATAAGCTTTGGTGGAGGTTGAAACGACACCTGAGAAGCTGATGTCGACAGAGAGGCAACAGTCTGTCGCCAAATTCTTTGCCGTTTCCTTCTGTTCAAATTGGTAATACCGTACAAATACAAGTCCCTGATATCGACCGTGGCCATGCAGATGCCTGAAATGTGTTGGCGGTTGTTGTTGGAATAGAAGACTCCGACTTTTATAAATTAACAAACAAAAATGGTACCGTCAAGCAGCTTTATACTCGTAATGAATTTGTAATTTGTAAAGAAAAGTTACTTTCCATAGATGAGATTTCTTCTAAAGAAATATCACTGAGAGAAGCAGCTGCAGCTAATTCGAAAAGTGGAGGGCGAGGCTATACATGCTGTCATTGCAAAAAGAAATGTTCCACAAATAAATGCAGTTGTAAAAGCAAGGGACTCTTGTCAATTCAAAGTGCCATAACAGTTTAAGTTGTTGTAATAAATAAGATTGTAAAATGTTAATCACACAATTTATGTGTAAATTTATTATTGTATTATTTTCTTTAATGATTTAGAATGTACTGTTTGTTTTAGGTTCAACAGTTTATTTACATGTGCTGTTACTTAAGCTTTCTCCTATTTTGACATATTAAAAAGTTGCATTTTTGTCTTAATGTAATAAAAATACTTTTATTCAACATTCACCATCAGTGCATGCTGAATGTCGACATTTGCCGGTGTAAGAGAGAAATAATAATATTTAGCAAATATTTCGTACATACACNTTACCATTCGGATTTTAACAGAGCTGTAGAGCATATTGATAGGAACAAAAAAGTCAAAAGAACTACGTCTCATGGAAATTTGTAAAGAACACCCACTAGGGGGCGTCCCAAACTACTAGTATACATATATTGGATAGAAATTTTAATATATGTACTATTGGGACTTGTTTCTAATTTTATACTTTGTTCAATTTTATTTAATATTTGCTATGTTCTCTTTTCTATGCCAAATTTATTTAATTCTTTATTGTTTGATTATTTAAAATTTCTATATCAAACTTGGAAAATGCTATATAATTAGTCAAAAATGTAGGTTTTTATCCAAAAGTTATTAATCTGCACCAGTTATACTTTAGCATATTTTTTAGATTAATTTTGTCATAAATACCTGAAGGTAGCATTTAATATAAAATTAAATGCTACCTTTGGATATTGGTAGATATCATTCATATGACATCTTATCATTTGTGTTATTATTAAGATGATAATTGGCAGACTTATATATCAATAATCATGCAATATAACTTGATTATTAGTGTCATTGATATCAAATCATTGATTCATTTTCCTTTAAAAAGTATCCAGCAACAAATTGAATAGTTTTCTTGGTAAAAAAAAGGTTTGTTTATAAAACACATTAGCAAAGTTTAAAATTGTGTGTTGTATCATTTGTTATGAGATTTTATTTTAAAAATAGCTTTTGTATTAATTATAATAAAAGGCAAAATGCTTAATTTGAGGATAGAGATGAGTTTTTAAAAATACTGTAAATGCCAATAATGATTTAAATTTTCATTAAGTCTGACACCATTTGAATTATGACACATGATCCATCTCTATCTCCCCATTCCCTCAAACTCTAACTAGCAAAATTTAATAGCATCAATGTCCCATATATACAAGTTACCATGCCAAAAAGTATTTCTTAATCTTTACCCCATCCTGAGATATTAAACAAAACAAAACACATAGAGAGAAGTTTTTTACTTTTTTAGGTTTAGAGGGTTTCAAAATGTCAATTTGCTAAAAACCTGAAGGGTCAGATTTGACACAATTTTGATACTTTCCATTGTTATATAAATGACAGCTGGGAAAGTAAAATGAAGCAAAAGGTAAAGCATGAAATTTTTTGCAGTTTGTCTCTGAACAGGCAATAACTTTTATAAAAATTTTTTAAAAAAAAAAAAAAAAAACCAANATAGACCTGATGGATTAATGCTCATAACAACAGTTAAAACATTTCTTGGAGCTGCACGTCCCCTATCAACATCAGGCACCCTAACTAGAACATTAGTTTGTAAAAAATAAACAAATGTTTAGAAATGAATAGTTAACAATTTGAACAATTAATAAAATTAACAAAATAGTGTAATTATTGCATTGCCATTAGTTACATTTGGACAACAATTTGAATCAACTCAAAGCTTCAGTTGTCTCTAACTATCAATGGATACATTTTATTAAAAATGGTTTAGATGAAAGTTTTTGTCTCTCTTGATAGAATCGAAAACTATACACTTTTCTTTAGGAATAAAAACATCCATAAACCTGATTATTTGATTAAAGTTAAACAATTGCCAGATTGTATTGGGCTATATTAAAGTTACTATTAATAATTAAATGCTAAGTAATTTGACACTACAGGCAGGTGTTAGGCACTATCTCTTGCTAAATTTAATAATTGTAATTAAATTAATATTTTAATAATTAATTTAGAAAGATTTGGAAGAAAAGAATAGACCCACAGTGAGACTTGAACCCACAATTCCTGCGTACTGTGGGGTTGCATTGCCAGTTATGCTATCTGGACCTTTATTTGATTTGTTCTCCAGAACCTATTAATTTAAACATAACCATACTTGGTCACTTATGTAGATATTACATACTCAGTTACTATAACTCTGTAACTTTTAGATGGCTGGATGGCCAAGCAGTCAAGGTGGTAGCCTGCCTCTCTGGAGGACCTAGGATTGAAGATCTGGTTGAAAATCCCCAGGAATTTTTCGAGAGGTGGACTGACCGGATGTGTTGGCCCATCCGTCACCACTTGGCCACACCATTGTGGATCTGGCCAAACCCATAATGGACTTGCTATAAGAGACCTTCTTAGTGCCCACAGGGTGGAAAGAGTTAAAAAGTATATAAATAAATAAAACTCGGTAACTTAACATTTAAGTAATAATAAGAATAGTAATATAGCCCAAAATAATTCAGCAATCATTTGACTTTAATTTTGACATTATTATTAATATTTATGGAATTATTATTATAAAATTCTTTTAAATATTATTTAATCTTACATGAACCATACTTAATGAAACACTTGACTTTTAAGAAAGCATTTCTTTGCATTATACAGTATATAAATTTTTGGCATCATTATTAGTAAAAATATACTTATTAACTGTCCAATTATTAATTTAAAATCTTAGATATTTATATTAGAAATTGAGTAAGGATGGTATGATTATCAAGTTAGCTGATTAATTGGGATATAATTGTCTAATTATACAATTGATCATTAACTAATTGTTGTCAGTATTTTTAAAATATCTTAAAAAATTTAATTTTTATAGTTTTTTTTCAGTAGTTTAACATCTGTTTTAATATGGATTATATACTTTCTTGGTAGTTTTATAGTGATGATATCATGATGAATGTCATCATTCTGAGCAATTAGATGCAATGACTATTATTTCTTGTGGTTACTGTTTTTTATTAATTATTGATAAATGAATTGACTTATGTCTCAGTTACTTCTAAAATCAGACATTCTTTCAAGTGCAATGTAGTTAACAAAACTATTAATTAGCAATGCAATTATAATCTACTTGTTTAAAAACATAAAATTTCTTTCAAATGTAGACAAATAGTGCTAAAAATTAATTGGCCAGATATGATAATTGGCTGTAAATGAGATTGAAACTCATTCATTGAACAATGTATATTTCTAAAAATTTATTAGTAACAAACTAGAACATTTTCAATTTAAAAATAGATATAAAAAGCTAGAAGTTGCTAACATAACTGGATATGTTACCAAGATTATTCTGAATTATCCTTATTCATAAAGTTATTGTTTCTTTAAACATCATCATTTTTTAATGTTAATTTAATAGTAATAAATTTTAAAAGTAATAGTGTTTTTCCAATGGACTGATTGTTTATCGATTACTTTGATTGTTGGGATGCAATTTGAAAAAATCGTAGACCTATAAATTCCCGCTGTCATTTGTCTACTGTCTGTCTTTCCTTAATCTTGAGAGTGAAGTTAGATAGATGAAAGACAAGACCAGATATGGAAACCTTGGGCAGGAAGCCCCAATATGTGAACTTCCAATGCAAACCAAAAGTCATATTTCAGTTCAAAAATTTTCATCTGAAAGGTATTAGATAGATTACGGGTATGACTATTGTTAAAGGAAAAGCATAATGTACCGTACATGGGCAAGCCACTACTAATTTGAGGTGGAGAGTATATATTTTAAGTTAAATAAATTAAAAATATGATTAAAAATTACAGTCCAGCATTGTGACAATGTCACAATAAGTAATTGCTTGTTGAAGAATTAATTATCACTTGATGGTTAATCAGTGGAAGAGCTGATTAGTATAATTAACAATTAGCAAATGATTAATTGGTACATTTATAAAATTTATTAAACATTTATTTATTCCATTAAGTAAAGTAGCACAGTAGGTTCTAAGATTGTTTTCCAGTCTCTCCTCAAAAACAGAAATAAAATTATATATTTATGGACTTTATGGACACCCCATATATGTGGCAGAAGTTTTAATTTACATGGCTTTACTAATTGTCTTTACTTAACATAGATACCATATTTTGATTAATGTGATTTTGATATACATGATAGGATTGAGGGATTGACTGATCACGTTAATCAAGGAATACTTGTACTTTCTAAGTGGTAAAATAGTTTTTTTTGTATTTAAAATTGCATTCTGTACCCCAAAGAAAAGTGTAAATTGAAACATAAATATATTATATATGACTTCATTTACTAGATTGAAAAATATGAATAAATTCCCTTTATTTTAGCTCGCTGTCTGAGTACTTTTAATCCTAATCTATCTATATTTTGCCTTCAGCTATTAAGGTAACCCTACCAATATGTTTTGACTTGCGGATAAAATAAATTTTGTAAGATTAAAAAGTAATATAAACAAAAACAGGCAAATAAAAAGTAAAATGATTGATTATTGTTTTGAAATACTGTAAGTACATATCTTTAATAATTTTTTTTCTTTCTTGTTTACAGAACTAGACAGAGCAATTTCTGAAGTAAGCAGAGAAGTTGGAATGAATTGGAGACATTTAGCCGTTTGTCTCAAGATAAAAGAAAGCGAAATTTCAAATATTAAGAAGAAATTTCAAAATGAAGACGAAAAAGCTGCAATGGAAATACTCCAAATATGGAAATCGCAAAATAGAAAGAAAAAATCGGATGATCTGATTAAAATTTTGGTAGAAAATCTTCGAAATAGAATAATTTATCTAGATGATTTAGCTGATGAAATTGAAGTCGAATATTTATCATGAATTCTCGTCGTGTATATATTTATTAATTAAAAATGAATCTGCATAATTTTTAAAAATTGTTTATACACTTTGTTAAAAATATTCGAGCATTTATAAAATTTTTCCATATTTTTTTGTACTTCGTTATATTATTATTTTATCTGAAAATGACTCAAACATATGTAATATGCTTTAAATTAATGATTGAATAAACATATTGAAATGCTCAGTAGACGATGTAATTTTTAACTCACAGAAACTGCATTTTTCACTATTAAGATTAAAAAATTTATTAAAATCAGATTGTCAGACATTTTACTTAAGGAGGAAGTTAAAAACAAATAATTTTTTAAGTTCAGGATATTAAAAAAATCAACAATTTAAAAATATCCAGGTGGCGTTAGTATCGAAAATTACGTCCGAAGAGGCTAGGTGGCGTTTCTCGATCATTGTTTCCGAAATCCAGGTGGCGTTGAATATGTTTTGATGGAAGATGGAAATATGTCGTTCTTTGTTATATATAAATATACGATTATTTCGAGTTTACTGAATTTTTCTGTCGTTTAAAATATATTTCGTAAACAAAGACGACATTGGTAAGTAAAGAAATACGCATCAATGCTTGTTTAATCGAAATAATTAAATCCAAGTAACTATTTCTCTAACCCTAAAAATCAATAAAAAGTTATCAGATCTTATTAAGGTAATTATCATTTTTATTAAAATCGCATTAAAGGCGGAAAGTATGGCGGCGCGGTAGTAGGATGAAAACGCCGAAATTTGAAATAAATTTAATCATTTTATAAATGTTTCGCGACGTGTCGCAGATCCGTTTCACACGCAAACTTTTAATCGCTCATTGTTACGTCATTGCAACGTGAGCAGAGGTTGTCCTTATCCGGATTTTCACCGCATTCTTAATATATAAATACAAATAGAATTTCTATTCTAATTTATTTTCATCATAAAACTTGCAAATATCTACTTAAATATTTATCTTAGGTGAATTTGGCATATTTCCAAGCTTCTTTGAAATATTGCACATCATCTCCTGGTTAATAATAATAATACTTCATTTTGTTATTTTTTTATTTTTTTCTATTAAGGTAGCTGCAAAAATTTTATTGTGGAGCATTTTACCAGAGGTTCTTCATGCTACATGCTGTTACAGGTTATCTATGTAATTAACATTAGTTAAAAATTATATACATTATGTATGGAATTAAATTATAGAATATAGGTTAATAGTATAGTTCTGTTTCCTCTCTCTCCTCAACCAATCATGGATATGTACTGTCTTATAGCTTCTCTATTCGCTTAGCTAGCTGTTTTTCTGTTGGTAATGCCTTCTCTGTAATAACTCGTCAAGATATCCCACTCTGGGTCTTTCACATTCCCTTTTGCCTTCTATCTTTCCTTCCAATAAAACATTCATCCATTCTGTTTCCTAATCTTTAAATATAAATATCTGCATTATTTGGAAAAATATGTGTCGTATTTAGAAAAGTTTTTTGTGTTCAAGAAGTTAACAGTTATTGCATTTATATATAACTTATTACCCAATGATGATACATCGTAATTTGTTTTTTGTTTTTTTTTTAGTGCAAACAGTAGTGTTTTAATTACCAGTTTTAAAGTGCTATTAATAGCCAATAGAAATGGGTCAGTTGGGGCTCTTAAGAAAATAAATGTTAAAGCAAAAGTAAATCAGATAATTCATCACTAAACACCTTTGGCTGCTGAGACATTTGTTTATACTCAAATGTTTTCATACTAATGTATTTTGGTTGTAAACTGGATATTAAATTCAGAAATTGGTAATATTCATCTTAAATTTAGTGTTTCTAGTTTTGATTATTTTAAAGCTGGTTCAGGATATGCAAACTAATTTCTAAAATATTGAAAGATATAAGAAATATAAATTTAGAGTTTATAAAATAATAATAATAATTTTTTAATAGAATGAATAATAAGTAAATGCCTATATCATTATAAAGCTGTGCCGAAATTTAGAATTTAATTTATATTATCTATGAAATTGTATATAATTTGTGAATGTCTGAGCTACAGAAAAATAAATTATAAAAATATTTCTGAAATTTATTATTTTCTGAAAGAATATACTGAAAAGTTCATGTTCTTTATCTGTTGGAATTAATGAACAATTTTGTAATATTGTGTGAATCAAAACGGGAATTATATAATTAAGTTATTTAAATTAGAGAATTAAATACATTGATCTAAATTTGTGTAGTTTTTTGTTTGAGAATCTCTCCTAAAGCAGAGACCCTATGTCATTTCCTTCTTTTTTTTCGATGGAGAAAACGATATAATTTTTACTACATGAGAAAGTAATATTTTTCTTTAAAAATTGTTAATAAATTAGTGTGAGAAGTAAATTTCTTCCATTTTTTTTGCATGTTGTTTTCGCTAAAGGAAATGCCTTGTTACTTTTATGACAAAAAGAGAAATTAACTTCCCTTCTCATAATCCTTATCTCTCAAATTCGATTACCATCTGGCTGTCCAACCCTCGACAGTTCCCCAGCACATCCCATTAGTGGTCTGAAATCGAGATCTGCTATTGGTCGGGATTCAGGGGATAAAACGGACAACTTTCTCCAATCGAGGAGTTCTCCTAAAGTTTTCCCTATTCCCAAAACTGAAGTCCCTCATCACGAAATCTTTTAACCTGTGTGCATATAAGTTCCCTCCAAGATTCTCATTCTCTGCCCAAACTTTCACTGCTGTCATCCCACATATCAATGCTTAGTGCCAACGAAAAGAAGACTAAGTTTTGACCAATAGTCAAGATAGTACATTTAAATATATGTAAACTCTCTCTCTCATATGAGTAAGTTAGGGTTTAATATTTTCTCTATATATATATATTGTATTTTATTTGTTAGTTTTCATTAAATTTTCATTATTTACTAATGGTCTCCTCTGTGAACTTGATTCCATGCTGAAGTCTTACCACATATGCATAGCCCCTCCCATCTGAAGAGTATTTACATTACTTAACAGTGTGCCTAATGCTAAATTTTAGGCTGGTGTCGGGAGCCTGACTGGAGACGACAGTTATACAATTGCCTTGTCTCCGTACTTTCTTTAACTTTTAATTTAACACCATCCTATGACCCTGTGGGCAAGTCCTAAGGACTTGATTGCTGATTAAGCTATAAAGAGCGATACTAAACTCTTTACACCCCCGGTTATCTTCACAATATTAATGGGATAAATTGACTTTAGAGAGAACTAAGTTTTAGATGAAATCAGTTTGTAACTTATATCTGTAGAAATATAAATAACATTTTCTGAAAACAATAATTTTACTGAAGCAAACTGATTATTGTATGAGGATGTTTGGATTAGAGAAAAGTTCCAATTAGTGGAAATTGTGTATATAAAAATGTCAAAAGTGATACTGAAAAATATTGGGCCATATCCAAGAGCAAATCTTGAAAATAATTTTTGTGTAATAAAATAAATAACAATAATTGTAATGTGTTTAGGAAGTTGCTTCATCCAATTTTCGTGATCAATAGGATGATTCTCATGCCAAATACGTCTTCTCCATTTTAGTTATCCAATCTTCATGTTCTTGTAGAGAAGAAACATCAGAACAATATGTTACCTTATGTGTTCCATCACAGTCATGGTTGAGTCTGGTATAGTGTCAAGTTTGCCAAAATGTTTTATGGAGGTAATCTGGTATAAGAAGAGGAAATACTTCTATCACTGCATTTTTCAACTCTTGTCTGGTACTACTGTTTTGACAGACTTCTTTATAAAGCCCCATCACATAGTCTAAAAGTCCAATGATTTTTGAAGCATTTTTTTTTTGATTGTATATGAATACAGACACTTATGAAGAGATACTCTGTCATAGTCCTGATCAGATTATTTTATCTTGAGATATTAAAAAGAATGAACTATGAAGATACTTTTACACTATTTTAGTGTTTATTCTGAACTTGTAAATTTTAAATTAAATAATGCTTTGAGATGCTTTAATAATGAGGATTTTCTGAATTTCAAAAATTTTAGAATTTTAGTTTATTAATTAAAAGTTTATTTTCTATAAAAAACTAGTCTGTGTTATTATTACTGTTATTGTTATTATAAATAGTCAAAATATAGAGATAATGCATTCAACTTTAATATTAATTTATTATTAATGAATAAAAAAGTTATACACAGTATTGAATGAGTAACTGGTATTTTATGCCATATAACAGATGGCGAACCTTTTTGAGTCTGCTTGCCACATAGTAAGCATATTAAGCATACTTTTCTTTAAAAATGTTTATGCGTGCAGAAGTTTTAGACTTTGAGTAACTATATTTAAATTTGGCTGAATGGCCATGCGGTCAGAGTGGTAGCTTATCGCTTTTGTGGACCCATGATCAAAACCCCAGAAAATTTTCAGGTGTTGATCTATTCTTCACCACCCAGCTGTCCCATTGTAGGCTTGCTAAATAAAAAAGCCCTCTTAGTACCCACAGGATAAAAAGAGTTTTAAAAAACTAAATTTAAATAAAAAAAAATAATATGCTGTAATTAGAGTAACTGTAAAGAACCTGATTGAAAAAGATGATATACTGAAATTGTATAATATGTCACATGCCGGATGATTTCTTCAATGTGCCACTTTGGGTACGTGTGCCATAGGTTTGCCAATTCTGCCATATAAAATACATTCCCATTTCAATAAAGGATATTTAGGAAAAAGTATTTAATGTATTTAAGCCAACTTGCACCTTTGGTACTTGGTCTCAGTTATTTTTTTATTATATTCCAGTTTAAAAAACTAAAATTACAATGTGCGCTTTTATATATCGGAGAAAAATATTTTAAAAGATATTTACTATTGAGGGGTTCATGAAAAAGTGGTACAAATGACAAACAGTATTATTTGAATATATTAGTGATGAAATGTAACATTGGTTAAACAGACTGATACTCAGTTTGGAAATTTTAATGTGATGATGATAATTGGATCTGATGATAAGACAAAATAGTCAAAAAAAAAAGAACATTTTATCAAATAGTTAATTGACTCCTGAAAAGTTATTAGCATTGTGTCTTATGGATGATAAAAATATGAAGCTACTTGACAACAGAGTTCTAAACATGAATTTCTTTTTCTTTCATTTATTTAATTTCTGATTATGGTTTTTGACTGATTAGTCTTAGAACTTTTGCAGCAATTGTCACATACAGCAGAAATTCTCTATGGGAATATTGATTCAAATCATTTGCAATGTTACATGAACTCTTCCCCAGACTTCAAGATGATCTAGGTTTGTTATTCTTGCATTAAACATTTTGAGCTGAATTCAAGAAGACAGCTATCTAGATGGCACTTACAAAGATACATGGGTAGGCTGAAAAGTAATGCACACATGCTTGTAGAACACGAACAAAAACAAATAGCAAGATTGGGCAAAAAGTACATTAAAGTACAATTTTTAAGCTTCAAAATCATATATATATTTTTCAACGTAGTCACTGTTAAGGCTAACACATTTCTCCCAATGCGTAAGAAGTTTTTTCATTCCGTCACTGAAAAATTCTTCTGACTTTTCTCCAATCAAGGACTTGACAGCTGCCTTCGCCTCATCGTTTGAGGTGTAATGATCACCCTTGAGGTCTCTCTTGAATAGAGAAAAAAATAAAAATCACAAGGCATAAGGAGAGTGTGGAACTTCAGGTTTCACAGAGCCTCTCCAGTTGCACGTGAGGTATGTGGACGAGCGTTGTCATGTTGCAAGATTATTGGCACCAGGCTGCCTCTAACATGACAAACTCAACGCTGGAGGTGTTTTAGAGTCTGTATGTACTGAGAAGAATTAAACATTGCAACGAGGGGCAATGGTAATCGTCTGTGGCAGTGATCGGACATCCGCTGCATGTTTCATCAATAATTAAGGCTTTTCCAAGCTCGCAACCACGAAATTTTATTATCCATCGATTTACAGTAGACCTATCAACAGCATTGTCACCATAAACAGCCTTTAAACAACAATGAATCTCAGTAGGAGTCACTTTCTCAGCAGTTAAAAATTCGATAACAGCACACTGTTTAACTTGCGTTGACATAGCACTAGAACACGTCTCCATATTTCCGCTTCTCAAAATATACTGAATGAATGCAACAACCTCAAACCTCACATACACATAGAGGGGGGAATGTTACTTCCTTATGCCACGCTTCTGAAAATCATTTTATTCATGCTCTACAAGCATGTGTGCATTACTTTTCAGTTTACCCTCGTAGTTGTCCGTATATATAACATGGTTTCTATCATGCCTATCCAACTCAATTTGATTTTGGGTGTTAAGTGACTTGACTTGCCCTGTAGATTGCTGGTAAGTTTAATAATGAAAAAGTTTGATGAAATAATGTATATTGTATACAAAATCATTTTAAGCTTGTTAAAAATAATTAGTTTTCATTATCATAAAATTTGAACATAAAAAAGAAAAAAATAAAGTTAGTCTATATTGTTCAAAAATTAAAATATGTATTCTGTAGTATTTGAATATACTACTTTATTGAAGCAAACATTATTTTAGGTTATATTTATATATGTTACTGTGAAAGACCGAAATTAGAGAATGTTGATATTCTCCAGTGAATGTCGACACATACAAAATATGTTGGTGAACGACCGAATATTTGGTTATATTATTGTATGTTCGAACAATCGCTGGTGTATGTCAACAAGCACAGATAAGCTTTGGTGGAGGTTGAAACGACACCTGAGAAGCTGATGTCGACAGAGAGGCAACAGTCTGTCGCCAAATTCTTTGCCGTTTCCTTCTGTTCAAATTGGTAATACCGTACAAATACAAGTCCCTGATATCGACCGTGGCCATGCAGATGCCTGAAATGTGTTGGCGGTTGTTGTTGGAATAGAAGACTCCGACTTTTATAAATTAACAAACAAAAATGGTACCGTCAAGCAGCTTTATACTCGTAATGAATTTGTAATTTGTAAAGAAAAGTTACTTTCCATAGATGAGATTTCTTCTAAAGAAATATCACTGAGAGAAGCAGCTGCAGCTAATTCGAAAAGTGGAGGGCGAGGCTATACATGCTGTCATTGCAAAAAGAAATGTTCCACAAATAAATGCAGTTGTAAAAGCAAGGGACTCTTGTCAATTCAAAGTGCCATAACAGTTTAAGTTGTTGTAATAAATAAGATTGTAAAATGTTAATCACACAATTTATGTGTAAATTTATTATTGTATTATTTTCTTTAATGATTTAGAATGTACTGTTTGTTTTAGGTTCAACAGTTTATTTACATGTGCTGTTACTTAAGCTTTCTCCTATTTTGACATATTAAAAAGTTGCATTTTTGTCTTAATGTAATAAAAATACTTTTATTCAACATTCACCATCAGTGCATGCTGAATGTCGACATTTGCCGGTGTAAGAGAGAAATAATAATATTTAGCAAATATTTCGTACATACACGAAACGACTGTGTGAATGCTGACATTCACTAGATATCGGTCATTCACAGTAACATATACATATGTGTGTCTGATGTGATTTTACACCTACATGTATCCTTGGACTACTATTTTTTGAAGAAGCTAATCACAGTGGGTCAGTGATACGCTCTATAATGACTAAAGATATTGAGAGATTCTCAACACTTATATTCCAAGTGCAACAACATTTTTAAGTGAACTGACCATTTTCATGTGAGGTGGAGTGACTGTATATTGGATACTATGTACTGTATAATAGTTTGTGACAATATTTTACTGACAACAGTGTTTAGTTGTGTTTCCTACTACCTGGTCACCTCATTCTCTGGATTTTAATTCATCTGATTTTTGTTTGTGGGGACATGTAAAAAGTTTGGTTTATTGAAGGCAAATTGCAAATTTTGCAATCTCAAAAGTATCACATTGTATGTGAGAAGAGTCAGAGTAACACTTATAGTTGGTCATTATTTTCAGATTTTATACCTTTAGAATAGGGACCACATTGATCAGTGTTCCTGAATTGTAGTCTGTATAGCATGAGTGTCTTGTACAAAGAAAATATTTGACACATTTGGTACTATAAGCAATAAACTAGTGAGTTTTGGTACAAATTTTTTTATGGAAATGTCTTTTGCATGTCGTAAAATGTTAGCATACCAAATTTGGTTGTATTTGGAATGCTAAATATGTTTCTAGACAACATTGAATAGGGTAATTTATTATGATTACTTGATATTTATAGTAGGTGTTATTTATTATAATCATTTTGAGACTATTTTATACTAATAACAATAATTATGATAATATTATGCAGTGAAAGTAATTATATTATAATTAGTGTAAATTCTAGTTTTACTGTATCACACAATATAAAAATATGTTAAAACAATAAAAATGTTTAAAAATAAATTTAATAATTAACATAAAAGTTATTAATTATAATAATAATTACTTTAGATCATCCAGCATTATTTGCTGGCTATTTTTTGGCAATATTTCATTAATAGAAAGCTCATACTCATAATGTTTGAAACTTGACACTGTACTGATGTAGTGACTAGTGTACTGCTACAACTAAGTACTCACAGAGCTTCTTGCATCTAAGCATTTTTTTGAAGAATCTGGACTATCTTTATGTTGACTTTCTTCACTTTTACCAGATAATTATCTAGTCTTCAATAACAATTTAACATAGTTCTGACATAGCAGATACTGAAATTTCTTTGTCAATTGCTAATCAGTTTTTAAACTTTTTTGACATCATTTGGAGTGCTATTTATGATCTCTTCAACAGACAACTTTAGTAGGTGTATAAAACAATTTTCAGTTGTTTTCTCAGATACTTGAATCCATGACATTGCCAAAAGATGTACTGTATCAAGTAGGGAAATTCTTTTATTTAGAGTATCTCATTTATGGAACATTTTAATGAATAAATCATTTTAAATTTTGTTTAAATAAGATGTTTTAAAACTTCTTAAATTTCTGATGATTGTTTTAAATCAAAAATGTTAAAGTTATTAATTAAATTTTAACATGTTTGTTCAAATATGTTTCATTTACTGAGACAATAAGTGAAGACAAGCATGAAGACATTGGAAAAATTGTTTCTCATTATTCAGTTGAAATGTGAAGTTGAATACTGAGATTAGCAGTGGGTCACTGGTTAATCCCCAAATGACCACTTAATCTGCATAGAATGGTAAAACCCAATCTCGGTGTTGTTGGATGGCTAGGAGGGCAATTCGAGTGGGGAGTGCGTCAGTAAGTCGACAAGTTTCCTCAGATAGACAGGAGACAGGTTTAACAATATAACAAAGCATTTATTATATAACTAAATAGTAAATACACAAGGCGATAACAAGATAGAGGTTAAATGCGGTTAAATACAACTAAGAGTAATGTGGCTAACGTAAGTTCATGATACCCTAAAAGGACGCACTAATAGCTTTAATGGCTAGTCGAGAGAGAGAGTTCACAAATACAACAGAAATAGAACAGTACAAATACCTCAATGCAGATATAACTATCACGCGTTCGATGAATATGTTCCTTAATGGAAAGTTCTGTCATATGTCCTGTCGATCCAGTGTATGGAGACAAAACGCACAGTTACAAGTATAACTTCCGAGAGATCGCCTCGAGCTTCCGGAGATTCGAGCTTTTATATCATTCGCGTGGGAAAACTCACACGTGATTGACTTTTGTTGACGATGACGGTGCATTCTTCACATCTAAGTGTAAACTTTCCCAGCTAATTGTTATTACAATCGGTGACATCCGATCTAGTTCAAATTCTTCGGGTTTTTTCTGAGGATATTTACAATTAACAGAAAATTTGAATTTTTAAGAGGCCCATAAAAATCTGCGGCTCACACTCAGGATATCTTTTATGTAAAGTAAAACTTAAAAAGCACTTGTTATTGAATTTATAGTTAAGTTTTAAGCTAAGTGCAAATTTTTGTCCAAGTCTGAATAATAGATATAATACTGTATTTGAGGGTGAAAAAATCAATTATTAATTTAATTTAAAAAATAAATACAAATATTATTACAATTATTTTATTTATATCATTAATGATTATTAATTGTTTTAATATTTTTCTTTTAGAATTATATGAAATGTCTCAATTTGTTAGCACTGGGAAGAATCCTCCTTGGGCCAGGGGTACAGGTAATTATTAAAATAATTGTTTCAAAACATTTTTAAACTAATTTCTCTCTAAAGCAAAATTAATTAATTTCTTGAAAAAATAAACATTACTTATAATAACATAGAAATGAATAAACTAGAATATTAGATATTTTTGGTACTTTTCAGTTAATGGGATGCCAGAAGACTACCGCATTTAACAATTTAGCCCACCCGACTGTGCCAGCTTTGAGTAGCCCATTTGACTGTTCATGTAGTACTTGAGGTTATATAGTTTTAACATGCAAAGCATGCAGGAAAGACGGTAGAATGATGTGTGTTAAAAACTGACCTTTGGAGACTAATATCTCACAAACAGTCAACAATTCTGGGTGTGGTATGAAACTCCTCATTCAGAGCTTGAATCTTATCCATTGCCATACATATCAGCTGGTGTCACGTTAACCAAAAAGTACCGTATTTTTTTATTTCTTTCAAAAGTAATTAAATCAGTCGTACTCTAATTCCTGCTACAATAAATTATGTTTTTAGTACCTATTTGTGGATATTGAGAAGAATACTCTACATTTAACTTGTTTATTAGTTCTAATGTGGTTTCAAATTGTTTTGTATTGTATGAGTCACATAAGTGGAAGAACTCTATACACATCCAATACTTAGTACAGATTTCTGTCTTCCCTATTTGAACTGCCACTCTGGGATTGCTTTTGTTTTTTGCCATAATGCTATCTGTGATGGTAAGTTAGAATTACCACTACACCACTTCCCACTAGTGGCAATGAGCACAGGACAATTAGAGAAGAGAAAAATATGTATAAGATGTCATAAATAATGCAGATTAAAGCAGGCTTATTGGCTAGACCAGGCATGGCCAACATACGGCCCATCTAATGAATTTATGTGGCCCGCGATTAATCTTTCAACATCAGCTACTCAAGTCCGAATAGCTTGATGAAAAATTCTGATGCCTAAAAAAAAGTCAACAACTCACTGCCATTTAGAGTTAACTCTCCATTACAAATCTTGTAAGTACAGCATAGAATGTTGATAAAGCATGATAATGTGAAAAATGTACAATTTAGTCTCTACGGGGTGACACCACAATGAGATATCGCACCACCTCAAAATCTTCCTAGGGCAGCATGTGGTTCGGTCCGTGAAAAAAGTTTTCTTTCCAATTCGGCCCGGGGGCAAAAACTGTTGGCCACCCCTGGGCTAGACCATGTAAAAGTGGGATTTATTGGTGTCAATTGTAACATGACATTGTGTGATAGTAATGATGATACTTTGTTGGGATCATGTCTTCCTTGTTTGGTTCCTCGTTGAGGAGATATGCTGTTTAAACCTAAATTTTAAAAACAGTCTGTTCTGTGGATGACTGGATAGCATCCTTTGTATGATGGCTGGAAATCTTTGTGCATGGTATCTGTACAGATAAATATGTATGTGCAGTTTGTAAGGCTCTGGCCTTACAAAGACTGCTTTTTGAAAGTGTGTCAGTACCTGCACTACCTGCAAGGCTTGCATAGCCTATCTCAGGTATCTACAAAGTTGTTTGAGTCAGATAGATTAGCAACTGCTTCTCTAAGGAACTCACTAATTCATCAACCATTTCTGTGACCATAGCCTTTATCACACTCTTTCCATGTTGCACAAAATCCCAAAAGTACTATTGGAAAGACAATTGTCCATTTGTTGGTGGTATGGGTTTTAATTGCTGCTTTCAGCACACAATGGAGTTATTTCATTTGTGTGTTTTATGCAGGATGATGTGATGATGTCAGGTTTTATTTGCTAATTTACCAAAATACTTCAAGAGGAATTGGAATAGAGAAGACTTGAATTAGGTATCCTGATCAGCTATTATTCTTGATGGTGATTCATCCAGTTAGACTTCTTGGGTCATGGAACTTGTTGCCATCTCACTGTTGGGAAATGCTTCTGGCTATTTGAAAAAATGGCCTACACATGTTAAACAGTAGCAGAATCCTTTGGATGGTGGCAAGGATTTAACCAAATCAATATGTACTGTACATGTGAAAATCTGTTGTATGATGGTACAAAGGTACCAAATTGACTTCTGGTTTGTCTAGAAACTTTTGCTAGTCGATAGAGAATACAAGTGTGAGCTTGAGACATATATCTTCAGAAATGGCCAGATATGCCATTTTTGCACAAGTTTGACCAAGACCCTACTACCTGAATGAAAAAGCCTGTGCAGAGTGTCAAAAAAGTGGTGGTGAAACAGTAGGAATTAGTTGGCATACTTGCACATAGACACATCAGACATTAGAGGCTTCTACTGAAAATGGCTTCATTTCTAGTGACATGCTGTTTTTGCCTGATAACCATTTATTCAGGTACTCATTGATGAGTTGGGTCTGTACCATTTGCTTGAAGCCAACAGGATGTTGGAAGTATTTATGTTTGCTACTCCAGAATATCCAGCACATCAAGAGGGTTGAGAATATTGTTACATCTGCAACAATATTCTCAGCCCTCTTGATATGCTGGATATATGTTGCAAGCTGATCTAATGTAAACTGAATTTGTATTTGATTTTAATTTATCCATTTAGTTCTTCATTCTATATATTTTACGTAAAGATGTCTGTTACAAACAGATGAAAACATTAGTAAAATTACTATTTTGAGTTAATTTGTGCTGGTTTTGGGTGTTGGTCTTCATTTATGTAAACTGTAATCAAACTGGCAATCAATAAGTTGTTTCCTTTTTGCTGAAAGACAGTCTCTCTTCTAAGAGGTGTTAAAAAATTTTTGATAGCCTTATATATTGTTAGGAGCTCAATCATATGCACTGTACAGTACTATAGTCAAACCTCAGGTTTTGAACACCTTGCTTTTCAAACAATTCAGTTTATGAACAAAATTTTGAACTTATTTTTGCCCTGGTTACCAAACAGCAGAGCCCTGCCACAGATGGTCAACTTCCTATATTTCCTATCTTACAGAAAGTCAATGGCCTGACCAATTATCAACAGGATTACCGATTTGGAAGTTAGTGTCATTGAGAATGCCTTGCATCACGATATGAATCATTAATGACATTGCTATTTAAATTACATTACAATGCATATGTGGGAAAGATCAGTACAGTAGAGCGTCAATTTTCTGAAAGTCAATCATCTGAAAGAATTCCAGTTGGCAAATTTAAATTTTTGCCAGTGCTGTGGCGCTTCAATCTTTGGCTATGTCTTGGGCTACTCAAATATTTTACGTTTTTGATACTAAGTTAACATCTGAAGTATAATTTTTTATTGTTTTTATATTTTTCAATATATTTATTTTGTTTGTACAAAATAAAAAAATAATTTTTAACGATACAATAGTCTTTGTTAGGCTTAACATCGACGAAAATTCAACGTGAAGTGACACGCAACGGAGAAAAATTTCAACATTTAATACATTAAACTATTTTTTCGTACATAAATCGGTTATCCGAAATATCAGTTATATGAACAACCCCAGTCCCCAATTGATTCGGAAAATCGACGCTTTACTGTATTTCTGTTTATCAGTAGGTTTGGAAATTTGAAGTTCAATTTAAAACAGATTAATTAATAAAAACAGTGTTAATTGACATTGACATAATATAAATGACATTCGAGACTTCGTGTTTAAATATGCTTAAGCTAATTAAATAAAAATTTATTTATACTAGGTAGTCAGTTAATTAAAGCTAAAAATAATAAATAAAACTGGCCTTTACATGAAACTGAAATTAAAAATAAAATTAATTAATTAAAATTGAAATCAAAACAAATGAAACATTTCATAAAGTGTGGATAACGTATTTGCTGTTCATCTTGATTGATTTGGTTATTTCATCCAGGAAGAGTCAAGTCTCTATTTATAGCATTTCTTTGTAAACTCTTGGTTTTGGTTGGCAGGTGATGCAACATTTTTCTTTTAAAATATATATATATATATATGTTTNTGAAGATGTTTTTTTCCAGCTTGGGTAAATTATGAAATATTTTAAAATTTATACAGAAAATAAAAATTTTTAATTTTGTTGTTATAATTTTACATTTATCTCAAAATTAATCAATAAAGTTTCTATTCAATATCTATATATATAGAATAGATATAGATAATATAATATTAAATATTATATTGCTTTTATAGGCATTTTTATGCATAAAATACAGCTAAAAAGGTTTTTGTTTGGTATCGGAAACAGATTAATCCATTTTACATTGTTTCTTATGGGAAAATTTGTTTTGGTTTTTGAACAACTTTTAGGAAGGAATTAAGATCAAAACCAAGGTTTGACTGTACTTCTGTTCTGATGACAACTTAGAGAAACAGGTGCAAGGTCTCCAACCTGTGGTTACATTGCTATATAGCTGCCTCTATGGCTATGTCAACATCTATCATGACTGCCAAAATAAAAGTTGAGAATAGATAAATTAGATTTGTTGCTTTGCCAGATCATGTTTACACTAAACAAAAGCAGTATAAGCCTCTATTTGTCCAGATTATTTTGCTCCTGTCATTTTTAGTTGTACCTCTCAGAAAATCATGAAGCTCTGACTGGGTCTAGGCAGCTTGAGACAATTAACAATGAAAGTTTACAATGGCTAGAAAGTGGCATACTGTCTGACCTAAATAGTCTGTATGTAGAGAGAGAATGGCCAACTGTGTGATTACATGCTATTGGATATTGCTGACATGAGATCAAAATCCACTAACAGTTTAGCGAAATACAAGCTTTTTTCCATGTTATAAGCATGGTTGGAAACAAAACAAGTAATTAATGCTTTTTTTATCTCATCTTTTACTCTTTGTATGACATTTAATTCAAAATAAAATATGTTAACTTAGCATCAATTGTATAATATCAAACAATGGATTTTTAGAATTAAGGTGAATGTTTTGATGGTATGATCAAATTGGGAGGAGTGGGATGAGAAAAGATTAGTAAAAAAGAAAATTAACATAAAAGTTATTAATTATAATAATAATTACTTTAGATCATCCAGCATTATTTGCTGGCTATTTTTTGGCAATATTTCATTAATAGAAAGCTCATNATTAAGGTGAATGTTTTGATGGTATGATCAAATTGGGAGGAGTGGGATGAGAAAAGATTAGTAAAAAAGAAAATTAACATAAAAAATATACTAAAAATAGTATATTTCATTAAAATCATTTGAAGAAAGTTACAATTTTGAATGAAGTTATAATAATAAAATAATAATTGTGAGTTTTTCATAGATGTGTAAACAACAAGGATTAAAATACACAAATAATAAATACTTTTAAGCTATTAACTTTTTTAAATTGCCTTATCAACTTCCATAGTGTTTTACAGAAACATGTTATTTGTATTGATGCAAAAAGTTTTCCATATCTTAAGACATAATTTTACAAAGTGTTTACATTTAAAATGTGTCCCGTCTTATTTTCTTGACTCTAAATAGGAATTGACCTGCATGTTTAATGTAGTGACAAACATTCTAAAATAGATAAAGAACAAGGGGATGTATTTAGAGAATGTTAAAGGAACATGTTGCTTGCTGAGAACATCAGTGATATAACTCTGAAATTGTTGATTTCTTTTAACCACCGTCAGCTTGTCTGATGTTAGGTGCCAAGGTCAAGCAGAATTTGCTGGGCCTCTTGTGTCTATATGGTGTATTATACTGTGCTTTATTGGGACTGGTGATAAGACTACCTCTGTCAGTTGTGCAACTCCCTGAGCAATTGGTGATATACACTGACATCTCTAACCTGCTGAAGCAGTTATTGTTGCCATGCTTTTAGTACTAAGGTTCATGAGTGAGTCAATCAATTAATTGTTCAGATGTTGACTAGTAATCCAAAGTGTTGTAGCACAGCCACTCCAATTATGGGATGAGATCGGCAATAATGAATTGCCAGTCTTTGCAGGCTAAGGTCTGAGGTTAATAGCTGCTTATGTGTTTTAATAACTAATCCATTGACCATGAAAAGCTACAGTTTTTCAGATGACTTATGTGATGTCTCTGAGATAGAGAGAACAGACAAGAATTTCTTGTTTGAGGTACAGTCATACAAAAAATAACTGATCAGTGTATTATTGCCCATCATCCAAATGCTAAGTGATAGGGTCTATCAGCTTTCTGAAAAATAAGAACATAATATGGTGCACTTTGTAGCTTCTATCTTGAATTTGTTACAATGCATTTTATTAAGAAGTTTTTGTAAGAAATTTTTAAATACACTTATTAGCATGCAAGGCAATAATACTGCATATTCATCTTATATATTATTTAGTTAAATATACTGTATATATTTCTTTTTAGTTACAGCTACTGCTGCAGGATTAGCTCAAGGACCACCTTCTGCAGTTACTCCTGCACTAGGAACATCAATTCTTGCTGCTCAACCAGCACATACTCCTGCTTCTGCAGCTCCAACATTAGCTGCTGCTGCAGTACCAACTCCAGGATTAGCAGCTGCTGCTGCAGTAGTTGCAGCCCAAACACAACAAGCACCTCAGCAACCTCCACCAGCAAGTACTTATGGAACAAGTTTAGCTGCTATAAGTTTGACTCAGGTATATAAAATTTTTCATTTAAAGAAAGGAATTTATGAAAGTTACATAAAACTAAAATGCTATTTTGTTCTGAAGAGTGCTTTACAACAAGGAGCTGTTTTATCTCAGGTATATTTAATCTTTATAATGGTCTTTTTTCTCCTTCATATGTACAATTACAACATGATTATATTTAAAATACAATCACAGCACAAGTTGTAAGTTGACACAAAATCTTGTATTCTATATCTCTTATAAAGAGATACAGTGTTGTTATTGTACACCTGAAGAAATAAATTATTGGACAAAAACTTTACCATATGTTTATAATAATCTATTTTATTTTTAGAATATGTATCTAGATATTTATGATAAACATTTATTTTTAGCCTGGAATTGCTTTGCCAGCTTCTCTTGCATCTGCTACGCCTGTAAGTATTAAATTCTCTTTGTAATATTACAAATTTAACAGTACTGATTTAGTAGTAATTTTTTTAACAGTTACTTTTCATATTATTGTTTTATGCTTCAGCAGGTATCAGTATGTCATGAATAAATATATAGGTGATAAAGATATATTAAAAAGAACTATAATTTATAAAATTAACTAAAAAGTTGAAACTTCTAAATTTTTAATTAAATTATTTTTACATATATATATATAGAGTGGGGTAGTCGTTGATTTGGCTAGGTTACCTCAACCAGGAATAGCTCTACCAACAACTTTAGCCACAACTCAAGTTGCTACCGTAAGTTATCCTACACCCAGACTTCTTGGTCAGACAGCTCAGTTTCAAGCTGCCCAAGTGCAAGCTCAAGCACAAGCTCAAGCTCAAGCACAAGCTCAAGTCCAGGCTCAAGCTCAAGTTCAAGCTCATGTTCAGCAACAAGCAGCAGTACAACAGCAACAGCAGCAGCAACAACAACAGCAGCAACAACCTCAACAACAGATAACTCCGAAACAGAGGGTGTTTACTGGCACTGTCACCAAGTTACATGATAACTTTGGATTTGTTGATGAAGATGTTTTTTTCCAGCTTGGGTAAATTATGAAATATTTTAAAATTTATACAGAAAATAAAAATTTTTAATTTTGTTGTTATAATTTTACATTTATCTCAAAATTAATCAATAAAGTTGCTGTTACTAAGACACTCAAAACCTTTTTTTTTTTTTTTAGTAGAAATTAAATAGTAAGTAAAAAATTTAATAGCTAATGTTTTCGTAAACACATACACATACATAAACTGTATGTAAAACATTTGTTTTCTGTATTGTCACGCCTTGACTTTGGTCTGACATAGCACTAATTATTGGTAAATATGTTTTATAGGATACATTCCACTACCACCACCACCACCACCACCACCACCACCACAAAGATAATACAGTAGAACCTCGAAAACTCGACCTAATGTGGACCGAAGGGTGGCCGAGTTTGTGAAAATGCCGAGTTATCGGGAATGGGGTTAAAAAAAATAAGTACGAGTATTTCCTCAGAAAATACTGTACTGTACTTGTACAGTATTTACTTGTACAGAATATAACAGAGAATAAACTGCCCAAATACCCTTAAACAAAGGAAAAGTACGTCCTTTATGAAGGCATAGAGCCACTACATGAAAATGAAAATTAATGAATACACTGTGTACAGTAATTTACCTGATAAGACAGACCTCAGAAAAATACTTTATGAGAGCTTTTATACTTTTATAAAGCTGTCTATAATGAAAATTAATTA